TTGACTTTTGTAATCGTAAGCGGTGGGTGGGAGCCATATTGAATCTTCACCATAACGGTCTATCTACGGCAGCCACCAGCAATTCTTTTATAGTCATACTTGTCCATTGTTTGACATTGTCCAACCAGTTTATGCGTTTGGCGTCCTCTCAATGGTGCCTTGAATGATGGTCTTGCTCAGGCTAAAATCTCTTGTAACGTGTTCAAACCATGCCATATTTCTGGTGGCTCACAAAACGTTCAACCCATTTCTGCTCGAACCCATTGCTTTTAAGTTCCAAATAGAAGATGCCATTTATCCTCAAACGTTTCGATCCTTCTCTCTGTTCTTGCCAAGAGTTTCCAAGTTCCACATCCATATAGGAGAATAGAAACTACCAGCGATTTGTACTTTGTTCGATAGCTGACTTTGTTCCTCCATATTCTTTTTAATAGACATCGCTGCCTTTTAGTTACGGCAATCCGTGTGCGGATTTCCGACTTGCAGGTACCATCTTTAGACAAGATTGCTGCCAAGTATTTAAAACTGGACTCTTCCTCCAGTAAATTCCCATTTATGGTAATGTTGACACAGGTGTTACTGTTTGTGTTATTCACTATTCCTTTGGATTTCTCGGAATGAGGGGGTAGTGTTTGCACTTCGCTAATGGCGGATAATCTACACAAGCGGACGACGGCTGTACAATGGAGTCAACGACCAAGGGCGCAAAACGAAGGCGATCCGTATCAGATTAGTGGTTTCATATATATATATATATATATATATATATATATATATATATATATATATATGTATTAGAGAGGAGATGAGCGCCGCCAAGTTATGTACAAGCCCACTGAAAGGATCACGAAGCAAGAAAAGCGATATATAACTATGCCGGATCGGTCGAGACCCGGATGAAAAATGGCCGCGCGTCTCATTGCTTTTAGACCGTTGGGGAAAAGAGTTGACGTTGCTTCTGCATTCGGATCCAACGTACGATCACAAAAATCAAGGGGATTGATGATGATGATGATGATGATGATGATGATGATGGCGGTGGTGGTGGTGGTGGTGGTGGTGGTGATGGTGATGGTGATGATGATGATGATGATGATGATAGTCTGACTATTGTTCTCCTCTTTCTTGTTGTTTTTCATAACGATTCGGTCGTTGTGAGGAAGGCCGGAGGGCACGAAACAATAACAAAGATGAGGCCAATGATATGAACATAAATAGCGTTAATAATGATAATTCCTCATCCCAGAGATTCAGACAAAAACCATCTAACTCCTGTTAAGCGAACCTGATGATGGAGAACCATTATGCACATCACGCGAACAAGAATTTGAGATTATTGACACTTAGCGTCCGGTTGCCCAAACTTTATGCGGAAATGGCTACAAAGTCCCGGCATGGTAAGATTGGGCAATATATTCACTGGAACTTACGCCAGTAGTAAAGTTCGACACATGCTGAAAAATGGTCGGAACAATACTTGAAACACTAATAGAAATCCATAAAGACACCATTCTTTGAGACTTTACCATTTCTAGTCTTTATTTAGGCTATTGATATTCATACTATTCTCATCAGTTGTGTCCTCTGTGTCAAACGCTCGGAATGTTGTGATAACAACAAAGATGAAGACAAGAGCTGCAAAACAAATCAGCCAACCAATAAATATTAGAAAAAATTGGATGAGAATCCAAATGATTCTCATATTTATATTCTGACATTGGAGAGGATATAGGCGCCGCCAAGTTATCTTCACGTCCATTAAAAGGATTATGAATCAAAATATAAATCCTGGATGAAAAACGTCCGCGTCTCATTCATTCGTTTCAAGATGGGCGTGTTTTTTTAAGATACCATTTTGAAATGATTGGATTGAAGTCAAATGGTTTGAAAATAGTTTCTGTTTCAAAAGGGTAAACAGAACTGGAAGGAGAAATGGACTCTCTACTTGAAAGAAGATACCAGGAGAAAGTGCACATCGTAAAGATAAAATAGAATAATTATAGATAATAAAGAAAAAAAGATAGAAAAACGCAAGTATGGAAGACCAGAGAAGACAATAATTTAAAAAGTGTACAAAAATAAGAGAGAAATCGATAAAAAAACAATAAAAGGGAGGAAAAATTAAAGGAGGCAAGGAGGAGGGGTAAATGTAGACGTGTGTGAAGGAATATATATATATATATATATATATATATATATATATACTTTTATATATAAATATATATATGATATATACATATGTATATATATATATATATATGCATATATATATATATTTGATATATATATATATATACTTTGATATATAAATATATATATACGATATATATATATATATATATATATATATATATATATACATATATATGCATATATATATATTTGATATATACATATATATACTTTGATATATAAATATATATATACGATATATATATATATATATATATATATATATGTATATATATATATATATATATATATATATATATATATATAT